GAAAAGATCCCAGATATAAGCAAATTCTCCCCAAAAAGAAGTACTGTTGTTGTTTTCGAAGATCTCTGTGCTGAATCGAAAAATATTCAAGAACGTATCGTCCCTTATTTCATTAGTGGTCGGCATCAAAATATCTCACCAATATACGTAACCCAGAAATATCAAGCTGTGCCTAAGATAATTCGTGAAAATATCTCACATCTAGTCATGTTCCGAGGGAGTGGTAGCCGGGACGATATCCAAAGAATCGTGCGTCAATATACGGATGATCCAAAAAAGGCATCCAAGATTATTGATAAACATTTACGAAATCGGAATTTTATAGTTTTTGATTTTACTAAGGCGATTGATGATCCATTAGCGATCAGACTGGGCTGGGATACGGCTTTGACATTTTGAAAAAAAGTATTGCCAAATTTATATTGAATTAAAAAATTAATAGTGAGACCTGAAAATAATTAGTTAATAAGTCCTAGTACACATAGTTCTTGTTGAATAATCTTTTCAGGATCTTTATCATTATACCATATGTGAAAAAGATATATGTCATTTTCTTCACATAATTTTTTCTTAAGTTGATCCCGCTCTTGCTGTTTAATAAAATTATTAAGATTTCCTTTATGAAAAAATTCGTGATATTTTTCATGCTGTACACCTTGTACTTCAATTGCAAAGCCATGATCATAATAGGGAATATCAAGTTCTAATCCTTTAGGGTGTTCTAAAGTTTTAAGAAAATCAGGTCGGCGTGTCTTAGATGGTGGTCCAAGATATTTTACTACAATTTCGCGACATAAATTTTCACGTTTATATTCACTGCAATGTGGACACCATGTGTTATTATTTTTAATACTATTAAGTGATGCATTCCATTGATGTCTGTTAGAACATTCCCATAAGAGCGGAGACATGACATTATTATATTTTTCTGAAAGGCATTTGCCTTCTTTATTAAAAGCCAGATCTCTTGCAATTTGGAGATCGAGTTTTAAAGAATTATCCTCACATATTGGACACCAACTGCCACGCTGTATGCTATGTAAGCTGGCATTCCATTTATGACACTCTGCACAACTCCACAATAATGGTTCATTGGTATCAATATACTTTTCTGAGAGGCAGTTTCCATTTCTCTCATGTGCTAAATTTTTTGCAAATTCTATATTATGTTTCAATCCACGCTTTGCACAGTAGGGGCACCAAGTATTACTATTTTTTACATTATGAAATGATGCTTGCCATTCATGGCCTTTTGCGCATTTCCATTCTAAAGATGATTTGTTATTAATATATTTTTCTGACAAACATATTCCCCCTTTGTTAAAAGCGATATTTCTGGCTTCTTTTAATTTATGTGATATCTTCAAGCATTCGGGACACCATGCATCACGATTTTTTATGTGATATAGCGATTTATACCATTCATGCCCTTTAGCGCATTTCCATAAAAGTGAAGAGTTATTATTAACATATTTTTCAGACAGGCACTCTCCATTTTTTATATGAGCTACCTGTCTTGCTTCTTCAATAGTATGAGGTGCATTACCTGCACAATATGGACACCAATTTTTACCATTTTTGATGAGAGAAAATCTTGCTTGCCATTCATGACCTTTTACGCATCTCCATTTCATAAGTGATTGACAATTAATATATTCTTCCGAGAGGCATATACCTCCTCTTTCCATAGCTACTGCATTCACGTCTTTTAATGAATATTTGATTCCCATTTCGAACTATAATACTTACGGCTTTTGTAATTCTAATTAGTAGGCGCGCTTTACTGCCTTATACGAGAAAAAATAATCATGACCAAAAATTCCGATGCACTCCCATGAAAAAATTAATTTATTATGCGAAATTTTATTAACATTTATTACAATATTAAAGATTTTTCATAAGAATGAACATCACAAACGCAATAACGGCATAATATTAAAATTCTATTCAAACACTAAGAACCATCATTATTTACGTTTCTTGATTATTTCCTTAAATTGTGGCGTTCCCAGTGTGGCTCGACACCAATTGATAATTTCTACAGGGATATCGGCGTCTTTTTTCTTTTTGTTAATATCATCACGAAGCATTTGTACTTCATATTTATATTTTTCCTGTTGTTTTAGTAAATGTTTGTTAGATTTAAGAATTGATAAAGCCAGAAAAAAAAATTCTAAGGCATTTGAATACCGTGAATGTAAATAATTTATCAATATTATCAATAAATTGTCCGCAGTTTTGAAAGGACTTGGGAAGATCAATTTGTCCAATATCGATCATAATGTAGAGCCCCGAAGCAGTTAAAACCATAACGTATCCTGTCCATAATGTCACTAGCATCCAATAGTCATGTGAGCAACACGTAAACAATTCAGTAACATTATGATTATGTAAGTAAACTTGGTAAATACTCACCAATCGCTTGCCACGCGAAAACCATATGATCCTTTCTTGTATTTTTAATGAGGAGATCAAGAGCATCCTTCATAAAAATGCCTAGTCTGATAAGGTCCAAGTTATTTTTCTTCATATTATTGTTTTTCCCTTCTCCCGTAATCTCTCCAAACATAAATTCGTATTTAGATTTTTTGTTATTCACAATCTTACCAACCATATCTGGTTGCTTTGCACGCGAAGGATCTAAGTTAGCAAGCTTACGTGCCTTTGCACTCATGCTAGCAGTGTTAGGCCACGTGGTAGGATGAATGGTAGCATCGTGAAAGAAAGATCTTAATATTGGACTAATTATATTGACGGTCAGTGTGCCCTCGCTGATAAGATCATTTAGTGGACTAATGGGTATATTTTCCATTCTATGAGTCAGAAAGAAGTAAGTATCACAACCAGACAGCAAGGAATAAAATCATGGGCTTGAACTTACAATTGCAAAAAGACAATCTGCATCCTGTCGAATTTTTCCTGATCAGCGGGATCTTCAAAAGACTTTGCGAATGTTCTTATTACAGCCTTTTTCGCCTCTTTCAATCCGAGATCCTCATCAAGAATAGTCTAATGTAGCGAACTAATAAAGTTATTATAAATGGTTTTTTGAAAGAATAATAATTAACATAGTACCTCGATATACCCTCGAAATACTGCCTTTACACTGGGTGCGACTTTCGTTTTCTTCGCATATGCATTACGCGTGCTTTTTTGTAATCGTTCTAAAGTATCTCTTGAAAATTCCTGGACCTGCAGGTCCGAGAAATTGTCAGCTTGTAATAGTAAAATATGGGACAAGCTCCTAAGAATTCCAACAAACATTAGCTGATTATTTACACATAAAGGTGTGTTCTCAAGATTAAAACTTACAATATTTCACGATAATCTGTTGCAATTGATAAGCCTGTCGCTTGTGCCATTTGCAATACTTTAGAACGATATGAGATAAATAGTTCGGAAATATTTTCTCCCTGGAATATATACTGTAGAAACAAATACATATTTTAGCAAAGTATCAAAACACACTAGTCGGTAAAAAAAACTCACGGGATTGTCGTTAGTATCTTTATCAAACGTAACCGAGTTATCCAAGAGAAGTACGTCATCAATGTCAACCTCATTATTATCTACATCGTCATCGTCATCATCCCCATCCCCATCCTCACCGTCCACGTATTCATCAAATGTAAGATTTCTGGGTTCTCGGCTACCTGCATCAAAGTTATCATCACTATCAGTTTCGTCACCTTCGCATGTGGTTGAGAGGACGAAAGAATCCGACGAAAATATTTGATGTTCGGGAGTTCGTGGTGGTGGGGCGACAATACGAGGAGGAGGGATTTGAACATGAAAAATTGGTTGAGGATTCTCACCGTCCATTCTTGTTCGTTTATTCTGTAACTCTTCGTGATCATCCTAAAGATTAAAATCAAAGTTCATTAGGAACATGAAAAACAATAATTCTAGCTAAAAAATATGCATATGTACTTCATTCTCGTTGGTCCTTTTCGACGAAAATTTTGCGTCAAAGGTTCCGCAACTTATGGTCCCATTGTTCACAGTTCCGCTGATGATCCCATTATTTACGGTTCCACTTGCGGTCCCAATCTCCATAATTGTCGGTTGGTGAAGATATATCTGTTTCCTCGAACGTTCTGCTTCCCATTTTCTTGCTAATTTATGGTCGGGTTCAGTATCCTAGGGTAGGAGATTTAAAGAGTTAGCAACGTTCTTAACTAAATATACACAATTCAAAGTCTGGCTATCTATCCCATCGAACAACAAACAAACTAATTAATTGCCTGCGCCCCAATGAGTCCAATGCTGGCTCGACTAATTGACTTGAAACATCAGGCAAACTAGTTGATCACCTGTGCCCCAACACTGGTTTGTGGCTCGACTAATTGACTTGAATGACAAGGAAACTAGTTGATTCCTTGCCACGCCACTTATTCATCTATATTTCCTACAAAAAATAGTGACTTGCCTTGCTATAATACTTGTTAAAGAGAAGTTGGGCTTTTTCCTTCCTATTTCCTTCCTCACGGTTTATAATACCCCTGAGGCCTCTTAAGTATAAGTCTATTTTTAACTGGAATGGTTCTTCTCTGCTTTCGTTCAAGAATCCTATAAGGCTCCATTCCGCTGACTTTCGTTTGAAATAATCGTGTACTTTATCTGACATTATACTGCGAGGTTGTGAAACTTTTTTTTTAGTCCAAAAGGGGTTACGTCAAGTGAACTAATTACTGTAGCACACAGAAAAAAGAATATGGGAAGTTTGCTAGGAAAATAGGGTTCTGAGACATTTTTTAAAAAATTGAAATTTTTGATACATATTAATCT